CAGTGGCTTGAGTGCCGGCCTGTGAACCAAGTGTTGCCGGTTCGATTCCCAGTCAGGGCACATGCCTGGGTGGCTGCTAGGTCCCCAGCTGGGGGCGCTTGAGAGGCAACTGATTGATGTTTCTCTCCCTCACTTCCTCCCTTCCCCTCTCTCTAAAAAAAATTAAAGTTTTTTTTTAAAAAAATGGTCTAAATCCACGCTCTCAAGTCCAACATTTTAATTAATCAAAGTTCCATACCAAATTCAGGGCAAGCGCTCCTGCCCCGGCCCCCTCCCTGGCCCTGCAGAGCGGTGGGGGCTGCCCCGCCCCCACACTGCGCCCCAGCCCCGACCTCTCCCTGTGGCTCGCCCCGCAGCCCCGCCGCGCCCAGCCTGAGACGGAAGCTGAACTTCCACGAGTCCTGCCCTCCGGTACCTGTCTGCCTGCTGGGCTCCCCGAGTGCCCACCTGTCCCCCCAGAGACACGGAGCTCAGTGGGGCCGTTCCAGGCGGCCCCCGGTCCTGGACAGAGGAGGGCACACGACAGACAGTGCAGCCCCTCCACCCGGCCGCACTGCCCCTCCTCCTCTGCCTCCTGGATGGCGCCCCTCTGGTCCCTGCAGGGCCCTGGGGGGGTGCAGGGCACCTTGAAGCTCGGAGCCGGCTCGGGGAGGCAGGAGGCCAGGCAGGGGCCACGCACGCAGGGAGGGAAGGACGCAGCGGGGCCTCGGTGTCCTCATCACGCACGTACGGGGATTAGAGGTCAGTGTGGGCAAAGCACCCAGTGTGCTGCCCGGCACCCAGTAGGCACCTAATCGGAGGGGGCCGTTGGTGCTCACCCTGCCCTGGGGGGCCCGTGCCCAGAGCTGGGAGCTCCCCTCTGCAGGACGTGGTCTTGACCGGGGGCCTGCCGTGAGGCGACCTTCTGGACCCGTTCCCTCTCCCCAGGGACCTTCCAGCAGGAGCGACGCCATCACTGGGTGTTCGGGGACTCTGAACAGCGAGGCCGCACTCGAGGGCCGTCTTCGTGCCGCCCCTTTTCCCGCTCCTCGAAGTCGCCCGTCCCTCGGCCCTCCACGCCCCGGCCACCAGCGGCCCCCCGCTCCTTCTCAGGGCCCAGGGAGGAGGGGAGTCCCACTGTGGGGACACGGGGGGCTGGCAGGCGGGCAGGTGCGTGTTCTGTTCAGGAGCGGGGCAGTCTGCCTGGCTGCCGCCGGTTCTGCTGGGTGACCGGGCCCCTAGCTCGCCGGAGCTCTATTTAGTAACGAAGCACCTGTTTAATTGCTCGCGTGCCTCCCACTGCATCGTGCCTCACTCGGCTCGCTCCGGCTGTGTGCCGGCCCAGGGAGCCCAGCACACGGGGCTGTGGCCGGCAGTTGGGCGGACATTTGGGCGGGGGTCTGGCACCCCTGCAGAGGCCTCCTGATGGAAGCTGGGAGCCAGAGCACTGCGGGTGGGGGCGGGCCCCCGGGTGGGGCCCCAGCTGCCGCAACGCTCTGGGGGACCTTGCTCTTCTCCGGTCCTGTTCCGGGGCCCCCACCACCCCCTTGCCCACACCTCCGACTGCAGCCTCTCCTGTCCACGTGACTCCTTCCCCAGGGCACTGCCCCTCTGTGAGGCCGGTCGCTGTCCCTGCTCCCCAGTCACTCCCGCTGCCCCTGTGTCGTCCACCCCTCCACACAGCCAAGGGAGGTTCCAGAAACCCAAGTCTGCCGGTCTCCTGGGCATGGTTCCCAAACCCTTCCCGAGTCACCCCGCAGTTTCTCTGCCAGCTGGCCACCCGTGGGCCGCCGCACCTGCTGGGCTGGTCCACCGGGAGTCCTCGGAGTCCTGGACATCGCGTCCTCCAGCCTGGCCTGTGCCCAGCATGGGGGAGAGCCCAGCAGGGTCTGGTGGTCGACTGGCTGCGGTCCTTCCTGTCCAGCAGCTCCAGGCTGGGGGTGTGTGGCTTGAGACAGATGTGCCCTTGACCTCCTGACAGAGTGACAGGACTGTGACAGGTGTGGCTGGCAGTTGGGCAGACTGTGGGCCTGGTGGGTGCACGGGAGTGGCTCCTGCAAACCTGGCAGGGGGGTGTGGTGCATGACACCTGAGCTGAGCCCTGCCAGGCGAGCAGGTAGCTGGCAGGTGTGGGAGCAGGTGCTTTCCAGCAGGCCTGCCAGGGGCAGGGAGCAGGAGGTGCCGCTCAGGGGAGGCGGGGACTGCGCCTCAGCCCTGGGCGAGCTGGGCCCACTGGACGTGTGGGCGCTCAGCTTCGGCCTCCCTTCCGGCTGGTACTGAGGGGGCCTGGAGCCTGGGCCTCAGACAGTCGGATTTCTCTGTGTGGACAGGAGGGTCCCCGGGCCATTCTGAGCTGGATGCTTGGCCAGGGGGTTGGGGGAGGGGCTGGGCTGGGTGGCCCTGGCCAGGAGGCCCTTCTGAGCTGTGGTCCAGGACAGGGGAGGAGGGGGAGCCGTGGGGCCCTGGCAGGCTTTGGAGTCAACTCCCAGCTCCCTCGCTGCTGCGGGACCCTCCCTGCTCGAGCCCCAGTGCCACCTGTAACTGCACCTGCCTCTGAGGAGGATGGGGCACTCAGCATGAGGGGTGTTCGTGGCACCAGACCTTGGCTCCAGGGTGGCCAGTGGCTGGCTGTGGTGGGCGAGAAGGTGTGGGGGCCTCAGGCTAAAGCAGGGTGCTGGGAGAATGGCTGGGGATGCTCAGAGCAGGGCAGGGGTGAGCGGGGGGTCAGCCACGGCGGTGTGGGCAGTCTCTTTGTGGATGTCCTCCAGGTGGGGCAGGGACTGAGGACACCGACCTGGTGACATCCGTGCGGCAGAAGGAGTGGACAGCAGAGAAGGACGTGCGTGCCCCCTCTCTCTCCTCCACCCCCTCCCCACCTGGCCTCTCCAGGTCTGCTGAGCTCGGGGCTGCGCCCACTCGGTCAGCCCTGGCGCGGGTGCCGGTGGGTCCCCTCCCTGCTGTTTCTGTCCAGCGCAGCCCTGGGTTCCCTGTGGAGCCAGGCTTCCCTGGAGTCCTCTCAAGTTTCCCCATCTGAGACTGCCATGTGTTTCCTCCTGGGACCTGCGGTGACAGCCACGGACCTCGTGACAAAGAGCTGCAGACAGGGCCTGGGGAGAGAGGGAGAGAGGGCGGGAGGAGGCGGCACCCTCGGGGTCAAACGAGGCAGGTGACGCACTCAGAGGAGGAAGAAGACAGGGGAGGGCTGCACCAAGCCCTCAGGTGCGCAGTTTGCAGAGTGGGTGGGCCGTGACGAGGAGTTTGAAGGGGAAAGAGGGCAGGAGTGAGGGAGGAGCGGGAACGGGGCAGGCGCGGGGGACGCAGCACCGGGGAACGAGAAGGGGGTGAGAATGCAGTGCCCGGCTACCCAGCTGGCCGGTGGCCAGGACAAGGCTGGAGAAGCCAGAACTCTTCTGGAGGCGAGAGGCGGGCGTGTGATGTGGTCTGTGACTGCCCGCCCCGCGCCCCACCCCGCCGCGCGCCCTGCAGCTTGCGCAGCGAGGGTGGGCGTAGGTGCTTGTCTCCATCTGTCCTGCTGCTATAACAAAAGTACCGAAAGGGTGGGGTGGTGCGCTTAGAAACCACAGAAACTCCTTCCTCCGAGTTCTGGAAGCCGTGTCGCCCGCGGACTGGGGGTCTGCTGAGAGCCCACTTCCCAGTTCATGGACTGCTGGCTTCTCACTGTCCCCTCACACGGTGGGAGGGATGAGGGTGCTCCCGAGGGTCTCTGTATAAGGGTGCTAATCCAATTCAAGGGGGCTCCACCCTCATGACCTCGTCGCCCCCAGAGGCCTCGCCTCTCACACCATCGAACCGGAGTGCATGTTTCATGTTGGGGGGGGTCACAACGTTCAGTCCGTGACAGTGCTGTTGTAGACACAAGGGCCCCTGGGCCTCAGCGTCACCATTTCCCGTCCTCTGAGAAGTGCTCGTCTACCAGTGCCAGCTCCCGCGGGGGTATTTTATTTGCACCAATACAGCGGGAAGATGCACACTGACAACATTGCAGGGAGCTGTCATTTTGGGAGCACGGGAAGGCCAATGAAGCATAACTCGGTTCTCCGACTGCTCCCGTCCACGGCGGGGCTGGAGCGGGATGGGATGGCTCACAGCCCGGGATGCTCCAGGGGGTTGGGGGGCTGGCTGCTGGCTGGAAGCCGCTGAGGCCCAACTAGCCGGGAGTCCTGGACTTGCTTTTCGCCCACATTTAGATTTTACGGTAAGTGCCCAGTGGCCCGTTTACTGGAAGTACTCCGGCAGGCCACTGTGCGGAATTTCCAGATGAATAGTGACCACGGAGGAAGAAGACAACAAGAGGCGGAGAGCTAACCCAGGCAGGTCTTGCGGGCAGAGGTGCCTGTCGGGCGCGGGGAGGGGAAGCAGGCCCTCGGGCTCTCCCGGGGTCGGGCTGGGCTCCGCCGGCCGGCCTCTCGCATCCACGGGAGAGGCTGGCCGCTCTCCTTTAAAAATAAAACGATTTCCGTGGAAGGCGATCTGGAAGAGCATCGGAGTCCGCGGAAAACAATCGGAAGAGGGGGCGGGCCGGGGCAGGCCCGGCCGGGACACTGGAGGGGACGGGCGGTGGCCCGGAGGCGACCAAGGCCGGGAGCTCAGGACTTCCCCGGGGTACCGGGATCCGCTGCCACAGCTCCGGCAGCGGAAGTCCCGCCCCAGGCCTAGTTGGCCCGCCACTCCAGATCCGCCCCCTCAGAACCCCCCTTTCACAGATCAAGGCCCCGCCCCGACTCCGTCCCACCTAGGTTCCCTACATGCCCCGCCCCTAGCGGCCTGGCCGCGGGTCCAGTTTCCCCGCCCCCTAGAAGCTCCTACCCACTCAGAGTCTGCGCTCCGCAGCATCCTCCGGAGAAACGCCCACGCTGCTGGACGCCACGCCCCGTCTCCTCGGGGGGCCACGCCCAAAACCGACCACGCCCCCTCTGCCCCAACCCGGCGACCCGGCCGGCCCGGCACTCCAGGCCCGGGCCCCGCCCCTGCCCTGGCCCCGCCCCTTGCTCCGGGCGGCGGCGGCGGCCGAGTCAACCGTTGGGTGAGCGGGAGGCGCGGACGCGGCCAGCGAGCGAGTGGCCGGTAGGTTGCGGGCCGGGGGCAGGGCCGCCCCGCCTCCGCTTTCTTTCTTCTCCGGGCGCGTGCTCGCGCCCTCCGCGGGCCCGGCCCCGCCCAGCGCGGCTGAGGGCTGCGGGGGCAGGCGGTCGGGTTCTGCTGCTCGGGGCCGCCGGCTCCTCGGGGATCCCCGCCCGAGCACGGCCGCGGGCCACCCTCCTTTTGTTCCCTTCCCAAGTCCGGAGACTTGTCGTGGGCCCGGCCCGGGTCGCTGCGAGGCCGGCGCAGTCCTGAGTAGCACTGGACGGCGGGGGCCAGGGTCCGGCCGGGCGGCGATCGGGGCGGGACCCCGCCCACCGCGCCCAGCTCCCTGCGCCCCGCTCGCTGCCTGCAGGGTCCCAGTTTCCTGTCGGACCTAACAGGCGCCTCATTGTTTGGGCAAAGGCGTCTCCAGGGACCCAGCTCAGCGTTCACCGCCTCTGGTCCCTGCTGTGTTGCGCTTTGGGGGTCGTCGGGGGTGGACAGGGCAGCCCAGAGTTGTGGTGTGTGGACAGTGTCACCAGAGTTGTGGGGTGTGGACAGAGTGGCCCCAGAGTTGTGGGGTGTAGAAAGCAATCCCTGAGTGTGTTATGTGGACAGAACAGCCCGAGTTGTGGGGTGTAGACAGTGACCCCAAAGTTGTGGGGTGTGGACAGTGTCACCAGAGTTGTGGAGTGTGGACAGTGTCACCAGAGTTGTGGAGTGTGGACAGCAGCCCGGAGTTGCGGGGTGTGGACAGTGTCACCAGAGTTGTAGGGTGTGGACAGAGTGGCCCCAGAGTGGCCTGGCCTGGCCTGGCAGGCAACCGCCCAGTGTGCTGTTTCCTCACTGGGGGGTGGGGCTGGCAATGAGCAGCCAGGGGGCACCTGCCCGGCGCCCGGTCCGAGCCAGGTACCTGTGCGGTCACAGCCCGCGGTAACGTCGGGCACTGGTCTGGCACAGGGCCTGTGGGACAGGGACAGTGAGGTCTACACGGAAGGAGGTGGCTGGCTCCCTGGGGTGGTCTGGGGTTGGGGGGGAGGCGTGGGGTGGGGTCTGGAGGGGCTGGGTGGCAGCGGGAAGAGTCCCACCGGCTGCACAGGGGTCTGAGACTCAGAGCGGGCAGTGGCGAGAGGGCAGCGAGTGGGAGAGAGCGCTTGACTTCAGAAACGTAGTCGTCGCCGTGGGAGGTGGCCTAAAAAAGCCTCCTCGCTCTGCCCTGGGCTTTGTGCTCAGGGGTGGGGCGCCCACCCCCAGGCACGGGTGACTGGGGGGCGGGGGGATGCCGCCGGCTGGGCCCCGGAAGGCCACAGTGGCTGGAGGTCACAGGGCGGAGGAAAGGCTGTGAACTCGGCCGTGGAGAGGGGTGGAGAGGGCTGGGGAGGGCAGGGGCCGGCGGCCGAGGGCTCAGGGTGGCAGTGTCGGGCCGGAGGTGAGGAGGGAGGGACTGGGCCAGCCTGCGCGGCCCACAGGAGGGGCTGGCAGCTCAAGGGCCCGGGGTCGAGGGCAGGCCCCTCTTCCCCTCATTAGGAGGAGGGCGTCCAGGAGGCAGGGGCGGCGGCCAGGCAGAGGAGCGGCCGAGGGGCCAGTGAGGGCCGAGGACGCGGCCCCCATCCCCGGCAGGACCTCGACTTCTTCGGGAGGTGGGGCGGCTCCAGTTTCGGGACGAGGCCGGGAAGGAATGCCGAGAGGAAGCTGGGCGCTGCGCCCACAGCCTGCGCCCCGCGGCAGAAGGTGACAGGGTGTGCGTGTCCGGTTTCACTGTCTTTTGACTTACGTCTTTGTCCCAACGGCCCCGAGGGAGTCAGGACGGCGGAGAACACGGTGGCTACCGCGGCCGCGCCATGCGGGAAGCACAGAGCAGCCAGCCAGAGCGTTTTCCTTTCCTTTGAAGTGGGCGGTGTTCTGTGCCACTCGGCCGTCCAGTTAGCGCCGAGGGACTTTCCTGTGGCTGCTGACACAGGCCGCCACCAGCTTCTGGCTGCAAGGACAGAAATGTGTTCCCGCACAGCCATGGAGACCAGGAGCCCGCCAGAATGGGCCTCCCTGGGCTGAAACCTCATGTGAGCCTCTGGGGGCTCCAGGGAGTCCGCTCCTGCCCCTTCTCAGCTTCTGGAGGCTGTTCTCAGCCCTCGGCCCGGCACCCCCCTCCCGCCTTCCTCCGCCGCCTCCCACTCCACTCCCGGCAGCCCACGGATCCACTCCCGTGTCAGGATCCTCAAGTTAGTCACAGCTGCAGAGTCCCTGTTCCCTAGAAAGTGACGGTCACAGCTCCTGGGCCGGGACCTGACATCTTTGGGGAGCACCCTCCAGCCTGCCACAGCGCTCCTGACTGGAGTTCTGACGGCCCGTGGTCCTTCCCGTCCCATACACCGTCCCGGGTGCACGGGGCAGCGTCTGGCCCAGGGGCCGCTGCTGCCTGTGTGCGGGAGGGCGCCACCCTGGAGGGGAGGCCAGGGCCGCCCTGGGAGAGGCGCCCCAGGAGAGCAGATGCGCCTGGCTTGGGGGTTCAGTCTGGCAGCGCAGTTGCTCTTTACTTTGGGGGGTTGGTGGCCACTGGCTCCTTTGGCTCTCTGGTGAACACTAGAGTCTGGGTTCAGAAGCGGACACATATTTCCACAATTTCCACCTGCTTTTTTATAGTTTCTATCTCTCTACGGAGATATGCCATCTGTAATTGTGACTGTATTTTCCATTAATTCCTTGATCACACTGGATTAACTGCCCTAAAGTTCCTATTTGCTTGTTTCAACCCCCCATGTAGCTCAGGGTCCATTTCTGTGGATTTCCTTCCCTCTTTACTGGGGGTCCTGTCTTCTCGTGCCTTTGAACATACAGTGATATTTGCGAACTGGACATCGCGGGTGGTCCGCTGCTGTGGATTCTTCTTCCTGCGGAGTGTTGGTTTTTGTTCTGGACGTTTCCTTGTCTGAACTCCAACAGCGATCTCTACCGCATTCTCCGCTCGGCTCGGGCGCACCGGCCGCCTCCTGCTGCCCTCGGACTCTCCTTGTGCGTGACAGTTCGAGGACTGGCCAGGGACCGGCTCCGTGCGCGAGTGCACTTCAGGGCTCCGGCTCCCTCACTGCTGAGGCATTGCGACGTCCCCCGTCCCCAGGTCCCCAGCCATGACCAGGCCCCATTCTCCGACTCCGAGCGGAGGGGACTGCCACCGTCTGCCCGCGCCCCGTCTCCTGAGCAAGCACACCCCTTCCGTCCCATCCGCCGCAACCCTCCGCTCCTAGGGGGCCACTCCCAGTTTCTGCCTGCTCTTCAGGGCTCCCGGGGCCTGCCAACAGTCGGTCTTTATGTTCTTCGCCCGGTTGGAAGTGGAGCAGCCGAGGAGCGTGTGCCAGACTGCGACGAGCACCCTGCCGATTCATTACCAGGCGGCTCTGATCTCTGGGGGTGACTTGCTCCTCCCCTGGAGACTCAGGAGGCCAGGGGGTCGCCACTCCAGGCCACAGGGAGTCTCCCCCTGGCGAAGCCCGGGGCGGTCAAGCCCAGGGCCGGCCGTGGTGAGTGTGAGGCGGCGCGGGGCCTGTCTTCACCCGCGAAGGAGCTGAATGCGCCCGGTGGCGGTGAGGCCGTGGCGCGGTCTCCGTCGTCGTCCTCTGGCGGAGCCGCTTCGGGGGAAGGACCGGCAGTGGCTGCTCTCTGGCCCCCCAAGGGCGGGTGCTCTTGGGCTCGGTTTGCGTCTACGGCCTCGGGCTCCTTCTGAGCGCTGCGAGGCGAGGCACCGTTCGTCGCCTTTCGGCACCGTGTTCTCTCCCTCCGCCTTGCGCCGCGGCGTCTGTCTGGGGAACGGGGTTGATGACGACGAAGCTGTGGCAAGGGCTGACCAGGGCAGTCGGCTGCTGGCGCCCACGCCCCGCGACCCCGGGGAAACACAGTCCTGGGTGCGGAGGGAAGGTCCGCCCTGCCGGCGGGCCGGAGGGGAGCCGCCCTCTAGACAGACGTCTCAGAAGTCTCCGCCCCTGGCCTCTGATTGGTCGGTCCTCTGCAACTGGGCTCCGGATCCTCGAAGTTTCATTGGTCCACAAGGCGCTGTCCTGATTGGTCAGAATAGAGCTACACCGATTGGATGGAGAAAGCCTCAGTCCTACTGGCTGAGATAGAATCCAGAGTGGGGGAGAGGCCCCTGGGCGGGAGTGGCTGTGGGCTCTTTCTTTTCGTTTCAATTTGAGGCCAGTGAAGCCACCAGGAGCCCTTACGCAGGCATCCTCTCGGTCCGGGTCCTCAGACCCAGTCCAGTGGTGCGGACCGGGTCTGGCACACTGGGTGTCCTCGGTGACCGGCCTGCAGTGCCGTTGGTTGCCGCGGGTGCCGCGGGTGGGTCGTGCGCAGGTGGGCGGCTCAGGCCCTCCCGGCCAGCACATCTGTACTGAGCCCCACTGCGTGCCAGGGTGTGGGCTCCGTGACTCCTCCTGAGCGTGGTCCCGCAGAGCGGAGCCCAGGGACATTTTCCCAGGGGGACACTGGGGCAGAGCGGGGCGCCCGGACCGGCCCCATCACCAGAGCCCCTGGTTGCCTGGAGGTCTGCCTGAAAGGACGGCTGGTGGGGTCAAGCGTTCAGCAGCCAGTCGGCTTCCTCACTGCCAGGGCGGGGCGGGGGCGGGAGGAGGACGTGGCCCGGCCCTGGAATTGGTTTTCCCGGGGCTGTGGTCACAAAGCACCACACACAGTGCGGGGTCTAACCACTCACAGCTCTGGGGGCCGAAGTGCAATCATCCAATCATCCAATCATCCAATCAAGGGGCGGGCAGGGCTGTGCTCCCTCTGGGGGGCCCCGCGGGGAGGATCCTCTCTACGTCTTCCAGCTCCCCCGGCTGCCGGCAGTCCCGGGCTTGTGGCCGCATCACTCCAGCTCTGCCCTGCCCGCACGTGGGCTCTCCCCTGTGTCTGACCTGCCCGCCGCCTCCGTCTGGTGAGGACCCTTGGGACTGCATTTGGGCCCATCTGGGTAATCCGGGATCCCCTCCCCACCTCAGAACCTCGGAGCCCCTCTG